CAACTTTAATCTCTAAAAAAAAAACCTCAGTGTGTCAATGATATTCTGCTGTAGTTTTGTCAGCTTTCTTATTTCTAATGTTTTGATTGTGGTAGCAGAGCGGATCAGTTCGTCTCTTAAGAATATAATGTTTGGTTTGCATATTTTAGTGAGTTCAGAGATCATGCGCTCATGAAGCCTGAGCTGACTGTCTGCTGTTTTTGGATTTCTTGTATTTTCTTTGAAGACGTGCTGCGTCTCCAAGCGAGTCCAGCCTCTCACCCGAAATGTGCAGCTGTGCCGCGGCACGCAAAGAATTCTGGGATACCAGCAGCACGAAAGCGTGCATAAATGCATGCTTGAAAAATTTGAAGCACACTTAGCATTTCGTGGCAAATGGGACACCGTTCGTGCCGCATGATGACATCATGCACACTTTAACTGCGCTGTTCGACGGTGTGGTCTCTGAAATGAGACACACCCTGTGTTAAGCAACCGGGGTTATGATTCACTCACTCCTCTAATTGAATCAACCTAATCCTTCATTCTGATAGGTAATAAATCCTGAGCTGCTCATCTAACGACTCTAAGGACAGGCAGAACTATTTATGTCTGAGGCTGCAGCTCTGCAACAATTTCAGATTCCATTTTTCACTCTTTAAATGTGTTTGCTTACTGTTTACAGCAGGAGATCCATTTGAGAAGTTCTCCTCTTGGTATTTTACACCCTAACATACTCTCTGTTGGTCCAGTCTGTCTCCCAACTTAGACCTCTTTTGGTCCTGTAGGAAAGTCTTAGCTGTATCAGGCTCCAGAAAACAGCAGGAAGTTTAAATGTTTTCAGGACGTCATTGTAGTTGAGGACTGCTTTGGAAACAAAGACCAGTACCAGCTGGATCTGAGTCTCAGTTGGTTCTGAAATCTGTAGCTGATCATCTAGAACAGGGGTGGGCAGTTAATTTTTAAAAGGGGCCACATAAGAAAACTGACTTGCGTTGGAGGGCCGAACCAACAATAACTTGAACTTAATTCTGCTCAGTATTAATTTTCCTCATTGTAAATAGCATTGAATTATATTTTTGATTAGTTACTACTGGTATTCAGAAGAATAAGAATATTCTGTAAATATTTATATAAATATATGAAATTGTGGTGTAGGAAAATACTCCTATAGAAGTAATAAACAGTAAAATCAATAATTGCATCAGTGTTTCATTTTATTTTTAACATGTTAATCTTCCCAAATACTGAAAAGGTGTTTTACAGTATGTTAAAGATAAGCAACTGTCAACTTCATGTAAAAACCAATAAATGCTTTTAATGTTTTACAGTTCATTTTACTTGTTCAGTGGGAAAATTCCAGCTTGCTCTGTGCTTGAACAAGTGCATTGAAATCTGGCTGAATGTCTGAGGTGGATATGCCAAGGACAGCTGAGAGGTGGCCATCAGTGATAGAGAATCTGTATCTGGATTTGTTGAACTTCAACACTGAGAATGTCTGTTCACATACGTAGGTAGATCCAAGGAGGACTAGAGTCTTCTGAGCATGCCTCCTCATGTGTGGAAAGTTCTCCTCTTTGAGGGAAGAGTAGAAGTCAAGCAGTGAGACTGATCGAAAGTGCGCTGCCAGAAGTGTGTCAGACTGCAGGTCAATCAGTTCCATCTGAACATCACTGGGTGCATTCTCCACAATGCAGGTGAAGGGGGAAGAAACCATGTGCATTTCACTCTCAATTGTTTTAAAGTCCTGAAATCACCTTGAAAACTCACCATGCAGTGCTTCTAACATAGATGAGTACTTGTCGAGGTGATCAGCAGATTTTGTGGCTTCCTTCAGTGTTGGCAAGTGGGTGAGAATGTTGTCCTTCATTTGGCTTGAGAGAAGCTGCAATTTCCTCATGAAAGCCTTTACTGCGCTGTACATTTCATGTACAAAAAGGCCTCTGCACTGCAGTTTGACATTTAGTTCATTCATTAGTGTCGTCACATCTACAGCAAAACCAAAGTCTGCAATCCAGTCTGCATCTGAAAGCTGTGGAATGTCATTTCCTTTCTTCACACAGAACTCGTGTATCTCTTCTCTCAGGTCCCAGAAACTTTTCAGTACTTTGCCCAGGCTGAGCCACCTGACAACTGTGTGGTAGCCTATGTCATGATGTTCAGTCTTGCTTTCCTCCAAAAGTGAAACAAACTGTCTGTGATTCAATGCTCTTGCCCTGATGAAGTTAACTGTTTTATTTACAACATCAACAACATGGTTCATCTTTAACACTGACTTACACAACACTTCCTGATGTATAATACAATGCAAAAGTGTCAATTTCTGCTCAGGGTTCATTTCTGTCACTTTATCCTGCATTCTCTTCAAAAGTCCAACATTTTTCCCGGTCAGATTTGGACAACCATCTGTTGTCACATCTGCCAGCTTGTCCCATTTTAGTCCCAACTTGTCCAAACATGCATTTACCTCCGTGAATAAATCACTCCCGGTTGTTGTCCCTTTCACTGACTGCATGGCTGCCAGCTCCTCCGTGATTTTAGAGTCCGCAGATATCCCACGTATGAAAATGAGTAGCTGGGCAGTGTCACTCACATCGCAGCTCTCGTCCAAAGCAAGGGAAAAATAGTCGAAGCTGACTGCTCTGTTCTTCAGCTGAAGTTCCAGATTCCCTGCGATGTCCTCAACCCTCCTCATCACAGTCTGTCGTGAGAGAGGCACGTTCTCAAAAGCTCCCTTTTTCTCCGGGCATAGTAGGGCAGCAGAGTCCAACAAACACTCCTTAATAAACTCCCTGTCAGAAAACGGTTGACTTTTTCTAGCGATTTTGTGAGATATGACATAACTTGTCTTGACAGCTGCATCTCTGGATGTGCAAAGTTTAGTAAAAAGTCCTTGTTGGTTTTGCAGCTTAGCTAGCAAAGCATCTGACTCCCTTGCGCGCTCTTGATCAGACAAGTTCTTGTATTTCTCCTCATGTTTGGTCACGTAGTGGCGATTCAAATTGTAATCCTTGAACACGGCGGCCTGTACACCACAAACTAAGCACACAGCTTTACCTTTGACTTCTGTAAATAAATATTTAGCAGTCCATGTCTTGTTGAAAACGTGGCATTCTGTATCGATTTTTCTCTTTTTGCCGTGGGCTGACATGTTGAGGGCTAGCTTACCAGCATCACATGTAGCTGTTCGCCTACACATGTGCGTCACTACGTAAATATATATTAAAAAAAAACAATGGCAGTCTTTTCAAAATAAAAGCAACACTGCCGTATTTCATTTCACAGCATAAAAAGGCCTATTTTTTTTATTTATGTTTTAATTTACTTGACCTCACGCGGGCCAGACAGGGACAGCCAACGGGCCGGATGTGGCCCGCGGGCCGTAAAATGCCCAGGTCTGATCTAGAAAGACCTTCATGAATCTTAGAGACACAAACAAACATTATAACAGGACAGAATGGAGCTGCAGCTGTGTAAAAGGTAACACCCCAAACTGTGAGTGATATAACAGGAGTTAACAGCACAGGGCTGGTGCTAAGGCCTAATTTCTGTATTACTTCAGAATACGTAGCTGTGTAAAAAATAACACCCTGAAGCAGTGCCTAACTTCATGTCAGTGGAGAAGCAGCCAAAACGAAGTGTATCAGGAAGACGTGAAAAGAGCTGAAGAGATCCAATAAATCAGGAGTTTTTGGGGCTGTAAATCATGAAAAAGCTTGGATAGCTTTGAAAGGTGAGAACAAGTAAAAAAAAAAGGTCTACCTTATATATTTTCAAATTTCTGAAGCAGATTGTTGAGCTGGCGGTAATATCACAGATCGCTCTGAGGTGTTAAGAAATGAATAAATGATAATTTGACAGTGTAATCAGTGGAAACTTCTGTGCAGAGGAGTTGATTGCACGACGCAAACGGTCATCGTGAGAATCTCTTTAACATCTTGTTTTTGTTTCAGCATTAAGGCCTCTCATAAAATCAAACAGCCAAAACAGAGAACAACATAACCATCCTTAGATGTCAGTTCCTGCTCAATCACCTCACTTCAGCAATACAGTTTTTATGATTCAACCGTATCATGTGAAAGACTTCACAGTCTTACAAACAGCCATAAAACAGTCATAAAAACAAGCACAGAACAGTCTGTAATACTTCAGAGACTCTTGCCGCCTTAAAGAGCTCATTTGATGTTATCAGGATTTACAGCAAGTCAAAGCGATTATATAAATTTAGATAAAAACATCTCTGGAAGCTGGACCCCAGGGAGGGCCATCTGTGGGACTATAGGGGCTGTCTGAGTCAGCCCTGAGTTTAATATGTAACACCATATTCTTATATCATCACTAAGAGAAAGGCGGGGATCTACACAGAAGTAATAATAAAAGGAAAGGTCAAAAATACCGTACAAAAAACTTTTCACATGTTGCACCTGTTCCACTTTTTTGTAAAGCTTATGCACAGACTCTACAACCTCAAGAAAGATCCTGTTGGTAGAAATTAAAGTCACATGTGCCCGCATCAATCATTTATCCATCATGGCAATTCATGGCGACAGACAAGCAAGCTTTGGGTTTAACTTTTCAAAGTCCCCCCAAAAAAGCTCCAGCAGACTAGAAGCACACTGAATATAGGGCTGGGTGATGAATGGAGTTTCAACTTTAATTATGATTATTATTACAGTGTGAAAATCAAGATTAAAAGGAGGGAGGAGATAGGAGTGTGTGCCTGAAACAGCAAAGGGACAGACTGAGCATGATGATAGAGAGTCTGTGGAGATCACTCATGTGCAAGAGTGATAATGAGTGAACAACTGTCAGGTTACAGGAGTGACAGCAATCTCTGTCTCGAACATGTGGCGTTCAGATGATGATCAAAACTTCATCCAAACTCTCAAAGAGCAGAATGAATGCATGGTTCCTCTCAGTGCTGTTTATCTACTATAATGAGCGGAACATCACCCAGACCTGCTATCAATGATTTTCCAACTGATACATTGGATTTAAGTATAATCACTGTGATCAGTGCTGAGTTGGACGGGTCACCTCACAGACAAACACAACAGCAGCCAGAAACTGTTAGACTGATACTCAAGACTTAGAAAACCTGCATGTCCATGAACCGCACTGAGGAGACTGTCATCAGGCCCCCCATCATCCATACACTCTGAAACATGTCTGCAGTCATTCCTGATCATTTAACCAGTAGAAATTTAATGTAGCTCATGTCATGGTCGAGGTCTGGGTGTTGCTGTGCAGACTGGTAGGAAGGACAATGATTTATAACCTTATAAGGTCGTCAGGGGCGACGGTCTGCAGTCACAATGGCTGGAATGTGCCTCCTGCCAGCACAGCGACAACAGCTTGGATGGTCAAACACACACACACCCCTTCTGACGTCAGCAACACCTGATAGATGTGTGTGTGTGTGTGTGTGTGTGTGTGTGTGTGTGTGTGTGTGTGTGTGTGTGTGTGTGTGTAAGAGTGACACATGTATCTTAACACCTCTGGTAGTTTTCCATCTCACTCAGGTTCTCAGTGCCTGTTTCACATCTTTGAATGTGTCATCTGGGAATCATTGTTCAGAGAAATGAAATAAAGCTCCTGTTGAAACCTGCTTGGCCCAAATAAGAGCTTTACAGTACCCGAAGAAACTTAGGTGTGGTATCAGGAAGATTAAAGTCTTAGTTCCTGGTCCAAACAGGAACAAGGGACTGTCATATTCAAAGCAGTTGGAGATTTTCAGAGATGGTAATTTGATGTACCATCCAAGTAAAGTAGAAATAAAATGTACCAAAATTCCCTCTCTGGTGTCATTTCTATGGAAATGCATAAGAAACTGTTCTGATGGCTGGAAATGAAAGACATGCCTTCTGCCTGTCCTTCTTTTATCATTTTTAAAAATGACCCACTGAAACTTTCCTGGAGATCAAACGCACTAAAAAGTGGAAAAAAAGTTCCTCTCTGGATAATCAATCATATAAAATGTGGGAAACTCACCCTTGAATGCTTTACCAGTAAATGAATGCTATGAACTGCCCCACAGATAGACTTTGAATGTATAAAACGTGGAAAACTACCCTCTAGATGACCTTTTTGTATACATACAAAAGTGAGAAGGTGCCTCATCAGTATGAAAACTGGGAAATGTTTCCTCTTGGTACCTTTCCAGTAAGATCTTCATGAAGACTCCAAAATCAGGCAACTGGACTGTGTAGAGTATTTATATTATTTATCCCTAAAGAATCAAAATATGATATATTATAATGATTCCTGTGTTTTACTGAAACCTGGTTAAATCAAAACAACTCTGACTCCAGTGTGGATCTACCTGGCTTCACTCTCATAAGGTCAGACGGAGACGCTCAAGCTAGTGGCAAGAAGAAAGGAGGAGGTCTGGCTTTATTTGTCAACCAGAGATGGTGTAACCCTGTAACACACAATTGTCAAGGAGAAGTTGTGTTGTCCAGTTATTGAACTGTTGGCAGTTGCTCTTTGGCCATATTATGTTCCAAGAGAATTTGGTCATATCATAACAATAGTTGTTTACATTCCACCTAAATCAAATGAAGAAATTCTGTGTGATGTTTTGCAAAATAGTGTTGCCAGGCTACAGTCTCAACACCCTGAGGCACTAATAATAATATCGGGAGACTTCAACCATGTCACCCTCTCCTCTTACCTGACTGGATTCACACAGTTTGTGAACTGTCCTACCAGAGAAAACAAGACCCTGGATCTGCTGTATGCCAACGTCAAAGAAGCCTACAAAGCTTCTGAGGCAGCCTGTGACCAAAGTCAAAATCAGAAGACGGACAACTCAAGCCAGTGAAGCTCTAAGGGACTGTTTTAAATCAACAGACTGGAATGTGCTGCTGGAAACAGATGTGGATAGTATGAACATTGATAAAAAGGTTGACTGCTTTACTGAGTATGTCAATTTCTGCAGAGACACAGTTATAACCACAAAGACTGTTCACTGTTTTCTATGGAGCCAGATCAGGCTCAAAAGTATTGACTGTTTACCAGAAGTAGTGTAAGTGAAAAAATAAAAAGTGAAGTGGAAAAATAAGATTTGAACCTGAAAGAATAAAATGGTACCTGAAAGTCTTGAATTTCGAAATTGAACTTTGAAAAATCCCAGAATGCATGAAAAAAATCTGTTCAAATGTAACTTTGATTCTGTTTTTTAATACTTTGGAATAAATTACTTATTTCTATTTTTCACTTCAATATATATTTCGATCTTGTAGTACTTTTTTTTTTTGATTGAATTTTATTTATTTATTTCAGATTCAGGTCTTATTTTTACAGATTCAAAACGGTTTTTTTCGGTTTCAGATTATTATTTTTCAGATTCAGATCTTTTTTCGGATTCAACTTGAAAAGTTTCAGGTCCACTTGCAAATTGGAATAATGGAAAAAATGTGATGGAATGGAATGGAAAGACACTGTGATATTTGAATAAATGTTTTATACCATATTTTGAATTAATTTAGACCTTTTGTGCATTTATTTTTGTCTTGTTACATTTTTTTCCATTATTCCAATTTTGGGGGCCATGGTAGCAATTTGATTGACTTTCAGCCATTTATGGCCATGATGTGCTGTTTACATTTTATTGCTTTTATTATACAGTAGATTGTGTCATTTTTATGTATGAAACATAAGCTTTTAGCTAAATTTACTGTATATATTACATTGTGCTGGGTGCAAATCACTTGAGTTGAGACATTTTTTTCAAGAAATTTGCTACATTTCATAATCTGAATTCACTTATGCGTATACTAAGGCACCAATAACTGTTTCAGATGTTAGGTAGATGTATTTATGACATTTGAGAAAGATTTTGTCTTGCCAGAATCAACATAGCAGTTTCTACAAGCAAAAACAGCAGCACCATATAATTGTTTTTGGGTTACTCACATATATGTACATTTCTGGCTGGTGACAAAACTCTGACAGATAGTCTGAGTTGATATTTTAACCCAAAGTCCAGAAGGGTATTGTCCATGAAAAATGCATTGAACGAGTAGCACCAGCGTAGTTGAACGAAATTTAGTTTCTAGGCACTTTTTCCTTTGTCCCAATACAGCCTATGACCTTGAGCGAAGTTTCTTTCGCGGAGTTTCAGATGCCGTGGACGTGGATGCATCGGCGATGCTGCCTGAAGGGTTTGACTGACCCACGGCTGCATCACGTTCTTGTTTCTCAAACGCCTTTTGCAAATAAATCGCTGGTAGCATGTCATGTGAAACCCAGCGTCATCAGGAACATTGTCAAAGTTGATATCAACGCAATGTTTATAAGTTTCTGCAAGGTCTTTTGTCTCACCCTGTAGAGAAAGCCACTTTCCAATACTAGTTCTGTAAGTTTCCCAACGTGTCCTTGTAAAGTCGAGAACGTCTTCACTCCTGACAGATTATAGATGCATATAGCATAGTTTCGTTCATTTTTTATGCACTTTTGAAGGCTCTTTTCTATTTTTACTTTTCTTTTCTTCCTCTTTACTCGTCTGGCTGCTAGATGCGCTCGTTGCCATGTCTGTGTATTTCTGATACTATGGCAACGAGACTCGGCTCCTATGGGTCCACGTGACAAAAATCGCTTCACCCCCTGCATATTCGATTGCGCGTGTACAAGTATCACTATACCACAGAAAGGAAATAGTTCGACACCGAAACACTGATTACTAAAAATCGACTGGATGACATGAGTAGAGATTTTTTTTAGTACTTAGTATCAATAGAGCTTTTTTATGAATCACAGTTTATGTTGCACAACTAAAGTGGAACGAACCAACACGATCTCATTCAGCCAATACAGCCTAATTGTAGGCTAAGCTAAAGTGTATTCATGCCACTTCCTGAACGCAGGGTGAGACCGCACTCATGGCAGACCGCGCCCCTCTCAGTCGACGCCCGCCCCCACGGAAAAACAGGGTCAAAAGTGAACCTGAAACTTTTCAAGTTGAATCCGAAAAAAGAAGATCTGAATCTGAAAAATAATAATCTGAAACCGGAAAAAAACATTTTGAATCCGTAAAAATAAGATCTGAATCTGAAATAAATAAATAAAATTCAATCGAAAAAAAAAAAGTACTCCAAGATCGAAATATATATTGAAGTGAAAAATAGAAATAAGTAATTTATTCCAAAGTATTAAATCAGAATCAAAGTTACATTTGAACAGATTTTTTTCATGCATTCTGGGACTTTCAGGTACCATTTTATTTTTTCAGGTTCAAATCTTATTTTTCCACTTCACTTTTTATTTTTTCACTTACACTTCTTCTGGTAAACAATCAATACTTTTGAGCCTGATCTGGCTCCATAGTTTCCCCAACAACAAACCGTGGATCACAAGAGACATAAAAGCAATACTGAACCAGAAAAAGAAAGCTTTTAAAGATGGTGACAAAGAACGACTCAAACAAGTGCAACAAGAGTTGAAGAAGAGACTGAAGATAGCAAAGCTGGAGTACAAAAAGAAGATAGAAAATAATCTACAACACAGCAACATCCGTGAAGTGCGGAAAGGAAACAGTACCATCTCTGGACACAGCAATAAAAAGAAAAGACAGCCAGTGGTGGGTGATGTGGAAAGAGCTGATGAACTCAACCTGTTCTTCAACAGATTTGACTCTGCTGTCACACCCACTCCCACTGCTACTCCACCCTACTCTCCGCAACAAATCTTCACTACAACTTCTTCCTTTCCTCCTCCATCTTGTTCAGATGTCTCAACCACTTCAAATGTGTCCCTCCTAGAACATCAGTCCTTGCCTGTTACCGAAACAGGGGTTTAGTTTAGTTTAGTTTAGTTTATTTGGATCCACCATTAGTTTAGTTAAAGCAAAGAGCCACAACTATTCTTCCTGGGGTGAGGATGGAGCTTGGAAGACTTTGTCCTGGGAAGGCAGCTGGTCCGGATGGCATGTGTTCAAGGCCGCTTGGAGACTGTGCTGCGGAACTGTGTCAACCTCTCCACAAGATCTTCAACCTGAGTCTACAGCTGGGGCGGGTACCTACTCTGTGGAAAACATCCTGCATTGTGCCAGTACCAAAGACAAAATGTCATGCTGAACTCAATCACTACAGACCAGTGGCCCTCACTTCACACATCATGAAAACCCTGCAGCAGCTGATTCTATGCCTTCTTAGGTCTGAGGTCCAAGACACGCTGGATTCCCTGCAGTTTGCATATAAAGGACACATTGGAGTGGATGATGCTGTCCTCTACATGCTTCACCGTGCCCTGTCTCATCTGGAGGAACCTGGGGTTTATGTGAGGATAATTTTCTTTGACTTTTCAAGCACATTCAACACCATCCAACCCACCATACTCAAAGACAAGCTCACAGAGATAGGAGTGGATCCTTCCTGTGTTTCCTGGATTGCAGATTACATGACAGGAAGGCCACAGTTTGTCAGGCTGGGGAACTGTGTTTCTGGGACATTAATAAGCATTACAGGGGCTCCACAAGGGACAGTACTGGTGCCATTCCTGTTCACACTGTACACATCAGACTTCAAATACAGTACTGAGTCCTGCTGCATCCATAAATACTCAGATGACACCGCTATTGACACTCTTCAGCCAGTGAACACCTGTGGCGTGGACATCAAAGTGGTGACATCATATAAATACCTAGGTGTACATCTGGATAATAAGTTGGACTGGTCTTAGAATATAGACTTCATCTACAGAAAGGGGCAGAGCTGCCTCTTTTGCCTGAGGAGACTCCGATCAATAGACATCTGTAGTAAGATGCTGCAGATGTTTTATCAGTCTGTGGTAGCAAGTGTTCTGTTCTACGCTGCAGTCTGCTGGGGAGGAAGCATCAAACACAAAGATGCAAGACGTCTGAACAAACTGGTGAAAAAGGCTGGCTCTGTGTTTGGACTCAAGCTGGACTCAGTGGAGGATGTGGTGGAGAGATCTACACTGAGGAAGGTGGAGACTATTCTAAAGAACATGGGTCACCCACTTCACAACACCTTGATAGACCAAAGGGCCAATGGTGGTGGAAGCTCCTCTCTCTTTGCCACAGGACAGAGAGATTCAGAAGATCTTTTGTACCAACGGCCATTAGATTTTATAACTTGTGTAAATAATAGATAACTTTTTTGGAGACATATTATGTGAGACAACAGACAATTGAATTTCCCTTCAGGGATTAATAAAGTTATTCTTATTTCTCATTCTTGTTCTTATTTAAAGGAGGAAACACCTTATGGGGAAATGAGACAATGTGTTATTTCAAAAGATAAAACAAAGATAAAACAAATAATCAGAAATAAGGGTAAAGTTCTGCTCATGGTGTCCATTTGAAGTTGGAAAACTTCGATCTCTAAAGGACTATTTTTTTTAAGGAAAACCTGAAAAAGTACTGTAACTGTTGGAGACCAGGGTAGTGGAGGGTAACCTGCAAAAATGTACAGTGTCATTTCAGTGGAGAAAATAGTCAATATACTCACGAGGGCAGTGGTGGCTGCTGTTCTTTCAAGGAGGGGAAGCTCATTTTTTCCAGGCCTACATCATAAATGTGTATGTTTTTTTATATGTAAATTCTACCCTCCATTCCTTTTCAAGAAAATGATCCATGACCCTGTCGCGACAGAGTAGACTTGCCAAACAAACCGCTAGTCCTTTTTTAACAAAGACAGAGCTGGGGATCGGTAAAGTCTAAGGATCAGTTCAGAACAAAGGAATGAAAAACTTGAAAAATGCTCTGGTGGATGTTTAGACTTAAAGATAGCTGGTTCCCTCATTTAACTGTCAATTAAAAAGAGATTCCGCTTCAGACAGACCATCCAATCATCGTGCAAAAGCCGAGCGTCCAGGCCAGCCCAGCATTTATCCAATCACCGTCCAGTTTTGCGCAGTTAAACAACACACTCTACACTGCCCCATCGAAGTCAGCTGACACTCAGCGTCCGACTGTGTGAAGCACTGTGGCACTGCGGGAATTAGTGAGCAGCAAGTTGTGTTGGTTACCTGTGATAAGTAGCTTATTCTAAATAAAAGGAAGCTGAGCTTCCCTCGCAGTTTAAGAGCAATCGCTACTGCACGAGCGGTACTTTTATTAGTAAAATCAATAATGTAACTAACCTCAAAAGTGAAAAAAGTTTAGCATGTGTCAAAGGGTCAAAATGTCTCTTTTTTAAAAGAATCTGTCTGGGATGATTTCCAACAAAGCTTTATAAGGAACAATAACTTTTTATGATTTGGCCCACGCTCCCTCAGACGGTCTCTGACTCATTAGGACGTGTTAAACTCAGTTATTCATTAGAGGAAGCTGCATATTTGTGGTTTCCTGTGAAGCACTTTATTTACACAGCTCTCAGCTCTGAACAGTGATGGCAAAGAGAGCCACTTTACCCCGTGAGTCTTTTTCTGTACGCGGGGAAATCCCGCTGTAAACGGTCGTTAAATGAGCAACAATACAACCCTTCTTCTTCTTAATGCAGTATTTCTTAAACTAAAACTGGAGAGCCCAAAATCCCAGCAAACTAAATCAAAAGTAAACTGGGACTCACTGTAAGCTGTGATTACTCAGGACAAAAGTTCCTTCTCTTGGTCTGTTTATTTAGATCAGTGAGAGGATGCACAGTCACTGTTATTATATCACTTTCTGCTGAGTAATCACCACACTTAACAGGGTAGGGACTGAAGCAAACTGAGGACAGAATGATCATGGAGCATAAATATAGAGTTATAAATGACACATTACATTGAAGCATTTTGCCTTTAGGTTGGCGTTTCATGGTCAATGACACGTTCGAGGGAAATAGGATGAGTGATTGATATGGGATCCAGAAATAGCCACAGCTGTGCGTAATGGCTGCACTAAATGGACACTGCTCTGCACAACTGAAGGACATCCAAAGTGGCAAATTCTCTTTAATTCCCATTTTGCCCTTCAATAACACTGAAACGACTTTTTGCATATGGAGATTATACTAAACATGCAAAGACTAACAATTCTGCATGTGAAACTCTGTGAAAACACAACAAACTGAGCGAATGAATAGGCAAATTTAAAGGAAAAAGTGCATCCACGTGTTTTTTTGCATGACTTCAAAACTCGACTGCACTGCTGTAACACAGCAAGATAGATGCAAAACTGGTTAGAGGAGAAATCCCCTCAGAATAATCTGTTAATACTGTGTATGTGCTGAAATGTACTTTGAATGTGTGTGTGTGTGTGTGTGTGTGTGTGTGTGAGAGAGAGAGAGAGAGAGAGAGAGAGAGGGGTTATGTAAAGGTTCATGTTAGTCCTTTAGGCTCAGGGTGTCTTGACATGACACACAAACACTCACATGCACCAACATAAATAGTACACTGATAATCCAGCGTGAACACAAAGTTGAAGTCCCGTGTCCACAAGGATGGCACTTTTCCTCTGTGTGTCCTCAGACCTTAGTGGACCCAGCATACCGGGATCAGTTTTTGTTGGGGGTTTTCCTGTTGTTGTTATTGGTCAATAATAATTGACTGTTGGTCAATGTTCTGAAGAAAAGTCTCCACCTTCTTCAATGTTCATCTCTCCACCACATCCTTCAGTGAGTCCAACTTCACCCACAGATCCAGATTTTTTTCACCAGGATGCTGAGTCCGTATCCTAGCAACAGTATCATAAAGAGTATCACATTGAACTTCAGGTGGGATGTAAACAAGTGTTGATCTGATATGACTAAACTCCTTTAGAACATAATATGGCTGAACAGTTCAGTAACTGGACAACACATCTTATCCTTGACAGTTATGTGTGAAGAGTTACTCCATCTCTGGTTGACAAATAAAGCCAGACCTCCTCCTTTGCTCTTCCACTAGCTTTAGCATCTCTGTCTGACCTTATAAGAGTGAAGCCAGGTAGATCCACACTGGAGTCCCAGTTGTCTAACTGCACTCACGGTGAGCTTTCTCAGTCTGCACTTTCCAGGTCATCACTGTTCCCTATGATGACTGATGGAGGAAAGGGTTTATATCTCCACCTCTTAGCCTTCATGACAACACCTCCAGATATCTGCTGGCATTGGATGTTGTTGTCCAGATTTGCTCTATCTGAACAAGCGGAGAACAAGCCAGGTGAACCCTCTACACTTTGATGTGGAGGTGTCTCTGGTGTTTCTCTGTTTCTATCTGGTTTCCTCTGCATGAATGTAGTGATGAACTGAGATGGTTTTGGAGTGATGTTGAGCCCATGACTTCCACTACAGAGTCCTGTCTGTTTTTAACATAGTGCTGACTGGATGAAGCTGCTCCTTATTTGTCTAATTCAGCTGTTTCTAAACATGATCACCCTTGAGGCCGAATCAAACCCATGACAAACATGAAGC